CAGCTGAGTACTCCATCAGGTTTAAGCAGTAATTTTGCAGCTTCAGAAAGCTAGCAGCTCTATAAAGCTGCTTTTACTTTTTGGTAGATCCTTTGTTCAGTATTGAAGTTGTTGACAAAGTTTTAGATTTTAGGGTTTTTTTCCCAAGTTCACCTATTTTAATGATTGCATGGATTTAACCCCCAATATTTTGTTTGGGTTTTTTTCTATTCATGAAGCATAGCAAAAAGCATTTTGTTGAAATTACAGTTTTATGATTAAGGTACTCTGAACTGTAGCTTCACGTACTACCATAATTTGTGTTGGTATTCAAGTTCAAACATTTCTTCCAATGTGAAAAAAACAGATATAACCAACATACTGTTATTTTGTATAAATAGAACAACTTCCGTTGTTTTAAACAAAGTGTGAAGTAGTTATATGACTTTGACCTCCTAACCACAGTTCACATATAGGATTACTTATAAGCTCCTAACATAATTTAAAAGTAGATATATTATACTCTTCCAAAGGTAGTTTCTCAAAAGGGCCTTTGTTACACACCTTCTTCTGAAGTTAGCATTTCAGTGAGGACTTCCTGATGCCTTGTTCAGATGTTTTAACTTTGGATTTGGCAATGCTCAGTCTGATTTATTGCACTATAAGAAACTTAGATGTAGTTTGAAAATTTAAAAAGTTGAGATTACAAATGATTGTTTTCAAGCACTGCTGTTGTGCTAATCATAGTGATCAGCCATAATCAATTACTGTCATGATTTTGACAGATTGGATTCATTAACTGGTTTTCACCGTAGCATGGCTGTGGTCATCTCTGATGGTTCAGGCCTGCCCAATATGAACTAAAACATTGATAAGGTAGTAATTTAATCTTAAAGATCAAAACCAGAGTTTTTGTTGACATGTTTAAAATGTTCAAATAGAGTCAATCCTTCCAAACCTGTGGCAATTAAAGCTCCAATGTTGGTCTGAAATCGCCAATTTGTTGTAAAACATACTGAAGTGGGGAAAAAAAATCAAAATGTGAGGTTTCATACTTGAAACTTTTCTGTACATTAGAAGAGATCATACCTTCCATTTGGGCGCAAGATTTTAATGTTTAGATTAACAAACAGCTGATATATGTATGCTAGATCAGCCTCCAAAAAGCTTAATTAACCTACTATTACCAGTAGGTAATAATAAAATATCTTATTAATTCTCAAAAATTGAAAGACTCCAAGTACTGAAATACACAGTGGGTGAAGTTGGTTTTTACTGCCCTTCACAAGGGATGGATGAATTTACTAAAGTAGAAGGAGTTAAATCTTAAGGTGTTACGGCTACCAGAAGTAGTGTAAACACTCTAGGTCAGAGTTGAAAAATGTTTTTCTAACAAATGGTTTTTTTGGTCAGGCTAGAGATCAAAATACTGTATCCTTAAAACATATGTTTTGAAGAATTCATTTTGCCTATTTCTACAAAACTGTTGTTGTTTTATAATCCTTCCTTTTTAAACTATCAAACCTTACCTATACTGTATATAACCTAGAAATAGTTTGGGCAATTCTTAGTATTATAAAAATGTGTGGAATATCATGTTACAATGGACAATCAAACCATTCTGAGTGCTTCTGATGGAGGATGATGTTTATTTGAAAGATGCGACAAATCTCATCCGTTTGTTCAGTTTTGAAAATAGTTCTGCTTTCTGCAAATATCTAATGCAATTTGATTTCTGCTGTCTACTAAAAACACGTTATAAGAAATATCCTATTGAGTTAGGCAATTCAGCACCCTTTTTTTCTCCTCTGACAGTGGCAAAAGGGATTCCATTTGGGAAGAGTTGTATGACCACTTCTGCTCACTTATTCCCCTCATTCATAGTTGTTGTAGTGAGGGTTTTAGATGTACACACGTCTTTGCCTTTAAGAAGTGTTTATAGATTTGTTGTCCATGAATTCATCAATATTCTTTTTGAACAAGCTGACATCTGCCTCTGTAACTTCATCTGGCAACTCGTTCTGGAAGTTTGCTGCTTGCTGTGTAAGCCAGTCTTCTACCAGCTTCATTATGTGCCCCTAATTCTGGTTTCACAGTGTTTGGTGACAGCTCTGCATTGCCTTTATCTGCTACCTTCATGGTTTTTTTTTCTGAACTGCAGTTGTACCCTAGTAGCTATTGTGCTGCCTTCAGAGCATGTTTTAACATCTGTGCTTTGCCCAGTGGCTTAAAAGGGCACATGTTCTTGTTTGTTATTACCCTGCCAAAGAAAGAGAGTTTATAAATATATGTGTGTATTTTGAGAAAAGAACATAATGCAAACATAAAATGTTAATAGCTTTTTACTTTGGGGAAGTAGAGAATACTGTGGAATCATTGTACTTTTATGAACCTTTCATTAAACTTGCTTCCAGGCCCTGTTATCTTGACTTGAACTTTATTATTTCCTTCTTGTTCTATTGAATGCAGGCAGGAATCTTTCTGCCTAGCTAAGAGGCCCTTCTCCTAATTTACTAACACTGAGTTTATTAAATGGTGTCCTGCTTAGGTAGTCATGACCCTCTTATCCTACATTCAGTAAAGCTGTTTTAGAAACTCAGATCTTGCATATCTGTAACTTTCTGAAGTACAAATGTGCGTGAGGGTGGAAAGCAGTCCTTTGTCTAAACTAAAAGTTCTCTTTAAAGTTACTTCAGTTAACAGTTATATCTTTTATACCCTAAACGCTGATAAATTGGTGGAGAGTTTTATAAGTTAAGGTTCTTTAAACTCTGATTTCAAGAAGAATACTGGCAAGTCAGTTACTGCATAGTTCCATTTTTCTTCAAGTCTAAGTTCCTTCAGGTTTTCTGAGCTTAACATCAAATAACAGCTTTGAAGCCCTTTTGATTTCCACATGGTTTCTAATCTGAGAGTGCTATCTAAACAGTAGAAATAATCAACACCTGCAAAAGAAGCCAGTGCTATTTTCATGTTGCCTTTCTTCTCCCAGGAGAACTAAGATTGTAACTGTCGAATACCTGTTAAATCTCTCAGGTTTTTTTAGGGGAAAAATAAATGTTTCACAAGCAATGGGTTTCAGTGTTTTCAGCCTAAGCGTGTGTTTGCAATGACCTTGCACTTCTTGGGAACAGACCAATTCAGCTCATGTTCATACCTAACAGAACAGTGATACTGCAGCATACAGCATACTGTTTGGGCCAAGGATGTTACACAGTGACAGGAGAGAGGTGAATGTTATGATTGCTCCTGTCACTGGAGTGAATTCATTGCATATGCACAAAATGTATGCCTGTATTCTGCTACCTGAAAGGTACTAGAGAAAATGAGCTGCCTGGAAGGGTTTGCTGCGATTATAAGTATTCCTCTCTGAATTCTTTACTGGAGTTCTCAAGACAATTTTATTTTCCCAGGCTCTTTCTCTGACAGCAGCAGACTGTCTCCCTGCCCCACAGCTTATTGCCACCAAACAAAACAGTCTGTTCAGCTCATGTCTTGCACTGAGGGTCCCTAGGGGCTGCACAAAAGATGAACAGCTCCAACAAGATCAGTTTGGCCAGTGGACCACAAGATGGGCACTGCTGCCTTGGAAACCACTGTAAAACCATCTGTTTAGAATGGCAGATTGAATATTTACAAGTAAAGAGAGCAGAGGTTTCAAAGAGGGAAATACTCTATGTTGTGAAAAGTGGTATTGGCAGCAAATCATAGTAATATGAGATCCAGTTTATTAGATTGTTAGAAATAGTTATAATGGGAAGTTTAGTGGGCTGAGAGTTGTTTTGGGAACAGACATGGTATTATATATGGAAGCTTAGTGGTGTTTTATGTGTATAATCTTTTATCAGTAAAGAAGGTGTGGAAATTCTAGCTTCATTATGTTCTTAGAAAACTATTGTATGTCCTTAATAGTAACTATTAATCTGTGCACTTCCTTCCTTGTAACTGAGAAGAGATTTGTACTTAATCTACAGAGAGTTTATACATAAACTAAAGACAAACCTCTGCAGAACATGCTCTTGACAAAGTGTGTCTGTACCCACAGTGTTTTTCCTATCATTTAATGGAGCAAATACACATTTTTAAAGTGAGACTTGCATATCTTCTCAAGAAGAGTTATTCTGGAATCTAATCTTATTTTCAAGAAACATGTCTATCTCTGTAGTCAGTCCTGTGTTCTCTAATAACTTTTATCCCTTTAACTACCCTATTTATAATTTAGTCTGAGTTTTCCCTCTTATGTATATGTCTATGCAGTGCTCAAAGCAAACATGACTAGTTAATCACTCTTTGCTTCCCTTCTGCTCTCCTTCCATAATTCTGGCACTGAGGCTGTGTTTGTGCTTACTATTCTGCAGTTTGTCTAGTTGGTGCATTTCTGTTATCCTCTATCCTCCTGTTGCCTCCCTTTTCTGTTTTGTTGCCTTTTAGGTGTAAACAAACAAACTTGATCAGTTTTTGACTTGGAATGATTTTGTGGTGGGGTTTTTTCTATGTAGCAATAGGGATTTTTTCAAACTGGGAGAGAAGCACAATCCTAGATGGATGTAGTCTTTTATGATATAGAAAGAAAATAGTATGATTTGTTAGTAAGTAAGTTCTTCCAGACATTACCTAATTTAGCATGTGAAAAAGCTTGTTGCACCATAGATTTCATAGAAGTGTGTAACACTGAATTCTTGCATTCTAAGAGTAGTTGCTGGAAACTAACAAGAAAAAATTCCTTCTGTTTCTATCCAAGATTAATTGATAATTTGATGATCTTGTCACACAGCAAGTTGCAAGTTATGTGACTTTTTTTTCTAGTTCTAAACTATAAAGTTTGAAACTTAGATCAGCTATGTGCCTAATACTTTTGTACATAAATCTTGCCTGTTTGGTTTCTAAATGAAAACAATGCACTGTACTAAAAAGTTGTATGTAATCAATGTAATTATCCAACGTAAGTAACTGTTGTGACATATTTAATACTAATACAGCCTGGCTTTATGAATTGACAGTCCTTCTCAATGTCTTTACAGGGTGCTGATAAGACTGTGAAAGGCCCAGATGGACTAACTGCCTTTGAAGCCACTGACAACCAGGCAATCAAAACTCTTCTTCAGTGACGGATGGACTGATATCTTATATGTCTCTCCTGTGGCCTCACACTGCTGCCTGTCTGTCACTCTTTGCATCTTCCAGCTTCTTCAGCTAAATACTTCGGGGGGAGGGAAATTCTTTATGAATCAGACTAGTTAGGGGCTTGTGTCAAAGATAATCTGGAGAGGGTTGAAAACTATTATGAACAGTCTCCCTCTAGGACTTCTTTTCAGTGCACAATCTCTTCCCATTTCTAGTGAAAATGGAAGAAGGAAGACAGACCATGATCTTGAATTTTTGGCTTGGAAACCTCCTAGGTTAGTACTAAGATTTTTGTTGAAAGATTCCTTTAGATGGAAGTACTGTGCTATGTACCTGAAACTAATTGTGAAGGAGACAATAGTCCAATGCTATTAGTATCTGCCATAATCTGAAGTGTAGTAATGTAGGTGGCTGAGTTGCTTTTCTCTCTTTTCTCTCAGTGGGTAGCTTTATTCTTCTTCTGCCTAAAGCTTACATTGCAGTTTTGAGGACTTTTGATACTAGTTATTGGAGCTGTTCTTTATATTGAGTAATTGGATATCACACTAATGTTTTTCTGACTCTTGAGTAAACCAGGAAAGATCAGTTGAGGCATGGTGACATTACACTCCAGAATATCTGCCAAGGTACTTTTGGATGCTTGAATTTGAGGTTTTTCTTTCCCATGTTTGTTCTAGTCCAGGACAGACATTTTAAGCAACTGGTTTTGAGAGAGTTCAAAATGTCACTGTAGTTATTTCCAAAAGGATTGTAAGATGGAATTTCTTTACTCACCATGTCAGCATAAAATTTCTAGACACACGCAAAAGCTACAGGCTGTTTGGTATGCAAGGATAATCAAGTCAAATGTGGAAAACGAACAGTAATTATTTAGACATTCATATCAGGTGAATATTGTTGCTAAACTCTTCTGGTAAACTTTTAAAATACATGTAAGCTTTCTAAGTTCAGGTGTTAGGACCAGGAAGATGTACAAGTAAAAGTCTTAACTTGCTCTAGCTACTGGAGGGGGAAAAAAAAAAACTTTTAATTGTGCATATCTTTGAATTGGTGTTTCATTGTTGGCTGAATGAACCTCTTAAATTTTGTTGACGCATGGGACTTATTCTGAAAGTTCCCGGTGCAACCATACCACATTAACCATTGACTTTTAGATAAGATTTACTATACCAGTAAGTGTGACAGTACTATGACAGCCTTGATAATTTGTGGGAAGGAATTTAATGATGATGTAGGGATTCCTGTCACATCTTATGGTCCTCAGGAATGTCTGAGCTTTTGGCTTTCATCTTGAAAATTTTCATTAGACTGCTGGTTCACCCAAAACTGAACAGGTTTTATAACAGAAAAGTGTATACTGCAGACTATACATCTTCCTCTTTTTTGGAATACAGATTTCAAACTTTCTGATAACATACACAATACAGAAAACAAATGTATATAATGTCTCATGCTGAATTCTTCAACAAAAGTAGCTGATATTATTTTGGTGTCACTGTTGAAATTGAGAGGATATGTAGAAGTAGGCTCGTGACTACCACTCATATTTAACGGAGACTTAGTTTTACTTGAATCATGTTGCATGTTATGATTGAATGTCTCAGCTATAAAAGGCCTTGCATTTAGACTGTAAAATGAGGGCAGAAACACATTTACCTGTACACATCCTGTAAGAAAAGCGATAGAGAAAACAATCAACTCTGGCCATAAACTGTACAGTGCAATTACTCTTTGCTTCTTGGAGTTGGGTGGCAAGGAAGAGCAGAAGGGTTGGAAATCAGTGATAAATCAATTGGTGAGCTGCTGATGAAAGAGGTATGTTTGATGAACAGTGCTTTTAATGACTATTTAAAGAGAACTCTTTTATCTCTGATCAGTGCTGGATTGTCATGTCATTGTAATAGTGTGAACACAGACTATAGGTTTAACTCTTTATTCAGCTATGAAAGTAACCATCTTTGGCATAAATCTGCCTCCATATTATGCTATTAAATACTTAGATATTAAAATACTAGTCTAGAGAACTGCAATCTGTTTTTATGTGGAAAACTTGATTATTCAAGTATTTTGTGTTGATTAGTGTCAAGTTGGCCATAGTTGTGTTTTGGGGTTTTTTTTCCTCTGTATTCTTTCCTGCCCTGCCCCTCAACTCTCATTTAAGTGAGCATTATTGTAGTAAAGAAACATCATCTTTGTACTAACTCTTCTGGTGATTCACTGAGGCAATTTTGCCTCCCTTTTTCTACAATTACGTGGACACCTTATTTTTTCTTACTTCACTTGAGGCGGGGGGGGTGGGTGGGGTGGTGGAATGTAAACAAACTTCAGTGAGACAAGTGTCAATTTGGCTGTAATATATACCCAAGATGCCTTTCGAGATAGTTAAAAGATGGCATTTAATGTTTGGCTCATAAAGAAGAAATACTTTTTTGCTTTTTGTACTACATAAGAGGTGACTGATCATTTTGCCCAGGATTTAAAAAAAAAAAAAGTCATAATAAAAGCTTAAGCTTTTGTAATTGTCTAGAAACTGGGCTAGTGCATTTGTACCCTTCTTGTTAGCTATATTGTGGAAAAAAAATAATGGGTGGCTGCCTCTATCTTTGAGTAGGTCCTAACTAGGTGAAAATACCAAACTGTAACTTATTTTACATTCTGTAAACAGAATTTACATACTTTGTCAGACTGGAATCACATATACTTGGAAATCCACTCTTCTTAAACCTTTTCCTTTTGAAATTTGTGTTGAATAAGTTATAACCCTAAGTATATTTTGGATTTTGTACCTTCTGCTTCTTTTTCTTGAGGGGGAGCAAATGGGAAAAGGAGAATGGCAGTTAAATGGAGCTTTATCCTTGAACACAACATTGAATTATTTGTAGAAGAGGCTGGTAAGAATGGAGTGTCCTAGGTCAAGCAATTGCAGTGTTGCATGCAAAATTTCAAAATGAACTTGTCTTAATTATATTTTGTAAATGGATAAACAATCATCTTTCTACGCAGTGATGGAAGAAAATTAGTGCTCTGTGCATTTTGATATTTGACTTCCTCTTTTCACCATTGTTAACTGTTTTGACACAGTTGGGTTCATCATTATCATGGTTCATAGACATCAGAATGCTAAATGATACTGTATTTTTAAGTTTGTGTTGCAAGAATGAATGGAATAAACTTGAATTGTGCGATATGAGAATGTAGAGTTTTATTTCCCTTTCTACTCCTGTGTTTTATTAATCTCTGGCTACAACTTTTTTTTTTCCTTGAAGGCATCTAAGCTCCAGCTCATATGTACAGTGATTGAAATGTTCAGGTACTTAGAAGACTTAAATGTGAAATGGAAGCTGCTTTGAGAACTAAATATATGAAGTTGTTTTTCTGTGTGTGTTTTGTTTTTTAATTACATCCATTTAAAAGAGGGTTTGATTAATTCTGTGGTCATCTTCTCTGCATTTCCTGCTTAAATGGTAATGCGTAATGTTGAAGGTCTCTTCCTCATGTTAAAGTCTAAGAGACAGTCTGTAGATAGAGGGATGTGCCTCCCATTACCTATGAAGACTAAAGTAATTTATTCTCTTCTTCATCAAAGAAACTGAAATAATTACTTACAGAAAGCACAGCTGAAGTATAAATAAAGTTATACAGAAATGTGTATTCATTATTCTTGTTGCATCTTTATGGTGACTTTGTCAGAACTTCCTTTTATAACTTTGCTTGTCAGGAGACATTTAGCTCCAATTGCTTGAATTGTTTCATATGATTTATTTTAAAATATACATTTTTTTCTTTAAAAGTGCAGGTGTGTCAAAGTGGGAAAACTATAAATATGGAAAAAAAGCTTAAAAAACCCCTTCATTTTTCTGTGCTAAACTTTGAAAACAGGGACTTCTAATGCTGTATGCACAACCTTTCAGCCAAATATTGGAGAAAAGGACACGTTCATCATAAATACCAAAACAGTTCAAATAGTTGCCACTGGCCATCACACTGATGTGTGTGCTTCAGTTCCTGTGTTCATCTTACTGTTTTTTTGTTTGTTTTTTTCTTTTTTTAATGGACAGCTTTTCTGTAGGAGGAAGTACTGGCTAAAGTTCAGAATGCAGGTTCCTTTCACATTCCTCAGTGACTGGCTAACTAAATTCATCTATACATGTAAAGACTGTTCCTAATATTTGTCTATGGCTGATATTTTGGAAGAAATGAATTTCTAATCTCCCTTCCAAAAGGAAGTTGGCCCAAGAAAGCATTTTTTTCAATTACATCACTTGATCGTTTCTCTCAGTTTTGAGAAAATTTTATTAGGAAAGCTGTTCCTCAAAATATTTTTGTTTTATTCATAACTTAGTTGAAAGGTGTCAGATTATGCCATGAACTTACTAGATGAGTTATTTGGAAAGCACTTTGTGTCATGTAGTGCCTTGAAAGGCTTCAAAAACATATAGTGTTTGCCTGCTCAGGAAGTGAATGAGCATTTTTTTTCCTGGGAGCAGCGCTCCTCTCTCCCTGCCTTTAGCAATCAAAACAATGTTTCTAATAATTTTAAACTAGGAAAAGTTGCATTTAGACACCATTGCTTGCTGTTGTGATCTGATGTTTATTTGGAGAGCCTTCCTTCAAATGGAAGTCCTGGAATCTCTTGAGTTTTCATTCTTCAAATTGCATTTGGAAAGCACCTGTGTGCATGTCTCCATTCTCCTGTGTTGTGGAGAATGTTTCTGTTTTCAGGATACTGCACGCTGCTACAGAATAAAGGATGGTTTTGTACTTTTCAGTGAGTTCCTGTTTTCCACATAATTTTGCAACTTTTCAAAATTAAGAATAGAGGCTTTCCTTTTCATGCTCTGAGGTTCATCTCAGGGCCATTAAAGTTGAGAGGCAGGACAGTGTGCCAAAACCACAATAGACTGCATGTCTCAATTCATCTATCAGACTTAAAATTCATTAAAGGAAAACTTCTGTCATTTGTCTCAAGCTAAGCATAAATGTGAAGGATCCAAAACTCAATCTCAAAAATAATTTCTTGACCTACAATAAACTCAAGTTTGGTGCATATATAAAATTATTTAGCTTTGAAACATTCCTTTGTATGTGTTTCTTATTGTTTTCCTCTAACTGAAAGTAATTCTTCAGCATATTCAAAAGAAGCTTCAGTTTGTTTACCAAAGCTTTTGTTTCAAAGTAAAAGAAACCATTTTCTAATTTGGAGCACTGTTTAACTATTTTGCCTCAAAAGTGTTTGGAGGTGGGAAGTCTTGAAAAGTATGTAACTTTTCATGGAAATGAAGTTATACTTCCTCTTTCTTTTTTTTGAATACACTTAATTAAGAAATGTATCCTATTTAGAGTGGCAGCATATTGTGACAAAAAAAAAACAACCAACCAGCCATTTCTTTTTTATTTATTTTCAGTGGAAAACCAACAGCTATGTTCCAGGTTGACACAATTTTTCTTTTTTTTTTTTTGGCCAATTTCTCAGTGCAGCCACCAAACTAAAAGAGTATTTGTATGTCTCTAATGATTCAACTTGGTTTGTGTTTAGAGTGGTGATATCCCTGGGAGAGCTTCATGATGCCCTAGACTTTTGTAGTGTCTCCTAATTGAGTTTCATGCTACAGTCCACTGTAGCACAGGGCAGTTGTAAACATTTAATTAGGACTAAGATAAATACAGATATCTGAATGGGGTTGTTATTATCTAATTCAGTTCCTGCAAAACAGAAGACTTCCCAGTATCTGTCTCTTAGCATGGGGAGAGTGAGGATAGCTGCCATTGTTAAAGACTGTTAAACAGTAATTGGTCATTATAGTGGAAGAGCTATGGCCATCATAACATGGTAGCCTTCTAGAAAGAGCAAGTAAATTCTAATGTTAGGTTCCAAAAGTCTTTCCAGAAGTTTATTCTTGTTACCTGTATATATTTTATTTGTTTGGGGTTTTTTTTTTGTCTTCCATGTGCTTTAAGAAGCTTCCTAAAACAAGAATGCTTCTGAGTTTTCTTTCATTGCTCCTTTGCATAAAGCAAAGGTGTAACTACCTTTTACAACAGAAATGTATCTTTTACATTATTTTGAAATAAAAAATGTAGCCAATGTTTGTGTGTTCTTATCTATTATATAAGAACAGTTGTGCCGAAGGATACTTCCTAAATATACTTTTGACAAATTGCTGTGAAAAGCTAGTCCTACACCTGATACCAACATCTACACATAGACAAATCCTGAACAGTAGGAATAAATAGTATATGGCAGGAAATGGTTAAGTTTTTGAAGCATTAGATGAGATATCATTAGAACTGGGATCAATACAACAGCAACAGATTTGTTTTGTGACTATGCACAAACCTCTCTGTGTTTCACTTCTCAATAGGAAAACTTAATTTCATTCCTTCTTTTTTTGTGCACTTAGCCTGTAAGCTGATTGAAGGATTATCTCTCAGGACCTGACACACCTTGAAGGGTTTTTTGTGTGTGTGTTTTGCAGTCAGTATCAATAACCTCAAAAGCACAGAAGAGTGTATTTAAAGAGAGATGAAGCAGATGGGAAGCACACCGATTTCTAGTTTTAGAGGTTTAAAATGTAAGAACAAAACAGAAGCTTATAAATTAATGACATTTCTGAAGATAGCTATAAACTTAAATCTTTACAAAGCCATATTAAAGGATAACTTGAAAGAAACAAGACCCAGCCTACAGCAGTAAAGCTGCATAGCCTGTGTACTTAATAAGGAGGTGCTTTTAAGGCTGTGTTCTCACTATAAACAGCTGAATATATATTGGCCATTCTCTTTTATCTGTTTAAAAAAAAAAACCAAAAGAAATTGGCACTTACTTAGCAGATGGTTGCTTTGGGGAAAAGAGAATTCCCTTGTTCCCAATTTGCAAAGCTCAGAGGTTGGGATTGAAAGGTTTTTTACTGTCAGAGGTGAGATCTACAGAGATGTACAGTGTGTGAAATGTACTATAAATTAATGTCAAAATCTCCCTGAGTGGTTTCTAAAGATCACATTCTGTCAGCTGCATTTGTTCTTCACATGCCAGAGCTGACCTGTGACATGTGCTCCCATTCTCTCATTTTATCTGCCCTTCCTGAATGCACAGCTTTCAAAAGCTGTACTTTACCCCATCACAGCTTTCTCTTTAACAGGTGGCTAGAAAGTAGGCAGAAAACTTGTTTGTTGATGTTACTACAAATTACTCCATCTAAGGCTGTCTGTCATCTATAACGAAAGGAGGAATTAAAATCCCAGGACTGAAGAGAACTTAAGTAAAAGAAAGACTTTTTCCATCCTATCTCCTTGCTACTACAGGGTTGTTCTCTGCTTTAAATATTACAGTAGTATGTCCTATTTCTTTTTTTTGTCAGGTGCTTTATCTCTTTACTGCTTTTCTTCACATCAAATGTACCAAGAGTAGTTGTAGGATTGGAATAATACGATTTACTTTCTCCTTGTTTTTTTTCCTGAAAGCTACTGGAAGACAAAGTGGTTGCAAAATACAGTAATATCGGTGGTGCCACAAAGATCCTTGGTGCTATCCTGAAATAACGTGGATGCAACACAAGTGTTTTAACCAGCACATTGTTTGAGTTCTTGACACCCTTTTGACTGCTGCTCTCATAGTGCTACAGGTTGGTAGGAAGTATGTAAATGACTCTATTTTGGTTCAAGCTTTGGAGCAAGATAACTTTCTTAAACCTGCAAGGTACTTCAAATTAAGTACTGAACTGTTGATGGTTAATACATCATGCTGCTGGCAGAAATAGAAGGCATCATGTGTGTTGTGGTCTTACTGCTTTTTACAGTGTAGTTGGCCTTGTGACTCCAATTTTCTTGTTACTTGTGATACGGTATAGTTCAAAATATACCTCTGCAAATGCACCCCTCCAAGACCAGACATTTTAATAGCAGGATGAGTCAGCAACAGACATCTTATTTTTAATTAACTAGACAAAACAGCATAGTAAAGATCAGGATTTAAAAGAGAAGCTGTAATGCAGAACAGTAAAAAGACAGACCTAGAAGCCAGAGAGGAGCTGGAGTAGGCTTTGCAGTGTTTTGGAATTCTGCACCAACAAGGCAGGCAAGTGAAGGATATAAAAATAAGATCCATAGTGACTGAGTAGTTTTTCATAGACCGTTTTCTATTTTGAGCTCATTTCTTCACAATTTCCGTTGGAGACAAAACACTTTTCAATAACA